TCAGTGCTTCGTTCAGTTACATTGCTATGGTGTTACTGTGAGAGGAAGGGGGAGGGCCATGGTGTTACTGTGAGAGAGGGAAAAGGCCATGGTGTTACTGTGAGAGGAAAGGGGGGAGGGCCATGGTACTGATGAGAGGGAAGGGGAGGGCCATGGTGTTACTGTGAGGAGGGAAAAGGGCCATCATGTTACTGTGAGAGGGGAAGGGGGAGGGCCATGGTGTTACTGTGAGAGGGGGAAGGGAGGGCCATGGTGTTTCTGAGAGAGGGAAAAGAATGCCATGGTGTTACTGCGAGAGGGAAGGGGGGAGGGCCATGGGGTTGCTGTGAGAGGAAGGAGGGCCATGGTGTTACTGTGAGAGGGAGGATTGCCATGGTGTTCAGAGGGAAAGAGAGCCATGGTGTTACTGTGAGAGGAAAAAGAGGGCCATGGTGTTACTGTGAGGAGGAGGGATTGCCATGGTGTTCAGAGGAAAAGAGGCCATGGTGTTACTGTGAGAGGGAAAAGAGGGCCATGGTGTTACTGTGAGAGGAAGGGGGGAGAAATGGTGTTACTGTGAGAGTAAATGGGGAGGTCATGGTGTTACTGTGAGAGTAAATGGGGAGGGTCATGGTGTTACTGTGAGAGGGAAGGGGAGGGACATGGTGTTGCTGTGAGAGAGGGGGGGAGGGCCATGGTATTACTGGAGAGGAGAGGGGAGGACCAGGGTGTTGTTACTGTGAGAGGGAAGGGAGGCTTTGTTACTGGAGGGAAGGGAGGACCATGGTGTTACTGTGAGAGGAAGTGGGGAACCATGGTGGTACCGTGAGAGAGAGAAGGGGAGGGCCATGGTGTCACTGTGGGAGGGAAGGAGACACAGTGAGGGGGAGGGCCATGGTGTCATTGTGAGAGGGAAGGAGAAGGCCATGCTGTCATTGAGAGGGAGGGAGAAGGCCATGGTGTCATTGTGAGAGGGAAGGGAGAAGGCCATGGTGTCATTGGAGAGAGGGAAAGGAGAAGGCCATGGTGTCATTGTGAGAGGGAAGGGGGAGGGCCATGGTGTGTCCTCTCTAAGGGATACTAATCTTATATTAGTCTTTGTGATGCAAAGTAAATATAATTTAATCAATAAATGGGAAGTAATTAACATCAGTACTTGTAGAGGCATTTGAGGATATATCCGAGTTAGTGGTTAGTATGATAAAGTGTTATATATATATATATATATATATATATATATATATATATATATATATTAAGACGCTGGAAATTGTTGTGAGTCTGGGATGGGGCTCCGGCGATGCTGGGATCAAAATCGGCATTCCAGTAGCGTGTCAAGGGAGTAGCTCCGAATGCCAAGGGGATCTATTGTATGATCCATCGTTTTGTACTGGCGCCGAAAATCCTGATGAACTTTGCAAGATCCTGGAGGCAGTGGTCAAATGTGTCAACTTTGTGAAAGCTGGAGATCTGAATTCTCGCCTTTTCCAGAACTTTTATAGAGACATGGATTCAGAGCATGAACCCCTCCTCTATTACTCCAAAGTGCGCTGGCTTTCAAGGGCAATGTTGTAAATAGAGTGTTTGAACTTCGGGGAGAGCTTAAGTTGTTTCTGGAAGTGCAAGGGAAAGATGATCTTTTAAGTCACTTCAATGAGGTGTTGTGGGAGCCACGTCTTGCATATTTAGCAGATATATTTGAGCAGCTAAAAAGGCTGAATCTCAAGCTGCAGGGCAAGGACAGAAATGTGTTTCACCTCATGGATTGTCTTCGTGCATTTCTTGCCAAGCTCCAGAATTGGCAAAGGAAAGTCAATGCAGGAAATGTTGCCATGTTTGAGAATCTTTCAACTGTTCTTGATGAGAAGGAAGATCATCTGCTTAACCCATCACTCAAAACTGAAATCACTCAGCACCTGAAATCCTTGGAAAGTGAGCTCAAAAAGTATTTCCCAGAATTCGAGGAGGAAGATGGGAAATTGGTGGGGAATCCTTTCTCTGGCACTCTTGATATTGCTACCATTCCCAATGATGTTCAGGACGAATTTCTTGATCTCAAGAATGATTCTGCTGCCAAAGATCTCTATGAAGAAAGATCTCTGACTGTATCCTGGTGCTCAATGTATCAGTCATATCCAAAAGTTAGCGAGATTGCACTTCGAGTCCTCTTGCCTTTTTCAACTACCTATTTATGCGAATCTGGTTTCTTCACCCTTCTACATATAAAGAGTAAAAGCCGGAACCGACTGGATGTGGACCCGGACATGAGATGTGCATTGTCAGTGACACAACCTCGGATCAGTCACCTTACTGAAAGGAAACAATGTCAGCCTTCCCATTGAGCTGTGACAAAATATGCAGAGGTCATATGAACTTTTTCCCAACCAAATTCAAGTTTGCTGTGAGGCTTGTCTAGTAGTCACTCTAGTCTAGTGACGTCAGTTATGTAAATCATGTAAGTCTATAAAAATATAAGATAATGATGATTGTCAACCTTGAAATAAAATTAGGGTATTCTCTTCATCGGCATTTTATTTTCAACATTATTTGTTGGGGGGGGGAGAGAAAAATGAAGGAGGCCACGAGGATGTTGAAAATTCCTCAAGGGGGGAATGGAGTGAAAAAGGTTGAGAACCACTGGTATGGTAAGATACATCACCGTGAGAAAATTATCGGGCCATCATGTGAGACCTATAAAACGGGGGATGGAGTGACGTTAAGAGTTGATGTACAGGTACAAAGAGAAATAGTAACAAGACGATAACGATGACGTTCGGACGTCAGTTTGTGTTTCCTGTAAATGCCATCAGAATATTTTTATCCATTTCTATAGATCCTATGCTTTTCCTAAGGAATTTATCACTCTATGCTATGAGTGTCATCAAAGAAAACCTCAAACTAGATCGTTTTTGTCGAATAAGGCTCGACTATTCTGCCGAGGAATGCGACATCGTAAACGACGGAAAGCACGACCAGCTACAAGTAGATATCCAGAAGCTTGATGCCATGTTCACTTTCTACGAGAATACTGTGAGCATGATCATCCCCGTGCTGTTGATCGTTTTCATCGCCTCTTGGCGTGACCAACAAGGAAGGCGAGTTCCTCTGTGTCTTTCGCTCATAGGCAGCGTTCTTTATGCTGGCATATACTTCCTGGAGGCATTCTTTCCCTCGTGGCCTCCAGAGGTTCTCCTGGTAGCCTCCTTCCTCCAGAGTCTCGGTGGCGGTTGGGTCTTGTTCTACATGGCCGCCTACAGCTACATAGCCGACTGTTCTAGCGGCCAGTCAAGAACTCTCCGCTTGACTCTCATGAGCGTCGTCTGGCAGCTCGGAGGTCCTGTTGGTACAGCGCTCGGTGCGTGGCTCTATGACGTCTCAGGGTATCTAGCGGTGTTTGGCCTGAGCTTCATTCTGTACTGCATCTCTCTAGTGTACAGTGCAATAATAGTCAAAGATAATACAGACTGTGGAGACGAGTCTATGGAACCCAAGGAACGTGGTTGACGTACTGTATTCAGTGTGTATTTCAAGAAGCGGCCAGGGTATGATCGCCTTCATATCATTGTCTACTTGACGATGATGCTCGGCTTTTACAGTTCTACCGCCCACAACATGTACCTTTGGGCTCGCCGAGTATTAAAGTGGGGCCAGAACCAGTACAGCTTGTACAGCACCATCAACCAGCTCATAGAGCAGTTTGTTATGCTCCTAACAGCTCCAGCAATTCGCCTTTTACAGGTCCATGATTGTCTGGTAGGAGCTGGCGCTTCCTTTCTATATATCTTAAAGATGCTGACGCTGGGACTGACGACATCGAGCGACAAGTGGTGGGTGTTGTATATCTTCGTATTCATACCAGGAAGCATTCCGGGCGTAACAATAAGGAGTTTGCTGTCCAAGGTGAGATTAACATTAGTGTTAATTTATTAGATTTTTTTGGTCGTCGACGAATATTTTTTTATGTTGCGTTTACATTTAAAAAAAAGTATCTACCTGTATGTAATATTTTCAGTCTTCTTTATTTTCATTTGAAAGGGAATTATTGTGAATTTGTTCATGACTAAAGGAGTTCTTTTATTTTTGTTTAAAACTTGATATTATATTGTTTCAAAAAGCCAGCAAACCACAAAGGACATTTATACAACATTTATTTGAATGTGTTAAATCTAATATAAAATTCTGATAATGTTGTCCAGGTGAAGGCGTATGCGGTGACACTTATAATCATAGATAAGATTCATGATTTCTTGCGTCAATTTGACACTCTTAACTGTTGCTCCCACTTATGTTACCGTCAATAAATGTTTTTATGAGACTCTGTCCTTACTCTTATCAGTAGATACCACGGTTATGTCGTCCTAAAAATAATTATATCTTGGGTTATTGTGTACGTACCTATATATGTAAAGCGGAATTGGCAGGTCCATACAATGTTGTACAGCTATTGGCCCACTCATTATATCAATGAGTAAAGTTTTAGTCAGAGTAGCAGATATATAGACATGAAATCTTCGTCCACGGTAAACCTAAGGAAGAAAGTAATAATGTAGCACACATCCTTAAAATTATGTTTACTGAGCGGTACCATAAAGTTCAAAATGAACATTACGACTCCTGTTGTCTCTATAGGGTTGTCAAAATCATTCATATTTTGTGTCATATTGTCTAACGCAAAATCGTAAAAGCACTTATTGTAGCGTGTTACTTATCTTAACTCCATGTTACCTCCCAACAACTAGGCATGTTGACATTGTCTCTCTTCTCTAGTACTCACTTGTCCTCACTGTGTCCTTCTCTCATGACCCACAGATGTGCGAGGCAGGTGAGGTAGGTCGGGTGTTTTCCATGATGGCTATCTTCGAGGTGTTCTGGCCCGTCATCGACAATGCTATCTTCACCTCAGTATACAGGGCCACCATCAGCTACTACCCTTCTTATGAGCACTTGTTGTCTGCCTACTTCATCTCTACACTTTCTGCGGATTCTTAGGCGTTCATTGGTCACTAAATAACGACGAGGTCAAGGCGAAAGATCACTTGACGTCTTGTGGGGCGTTCCAAGACGAGACACTGAGAAATGAAACAGAAGAAATAAAACCAAATTGAGTACTGTATGAATATATATATATATATATATATATATATATATATATATATATATATATATATATATATATATATATATATATATATATAATGTCAAATTTTTTACACCTACAGTGAGATAAAAGGGCCAGCATTATCAACCATCCTTGGTGTATGAGATCACTGGCACTCGTTAAGTAACACCCTGGTAACTCTTAACTTAGCAACAGAACGGTAACCACTACAGTACAGTACAGCTCGTGAGAGGAAGTGATAAGATAATTATAGGATGAGATTATTCAGTCAGAGAAAACGTGATTCATGTGGAAATGATTGTGTGTTACGTAGTGTGTGTGTGTGTGTGTGTGTGTGTGTTTGTGTAATTGCGTACACACACGCTCTAATCATCTAAAGCAGTGGTTCTCAACCTTGTTTGCCCCATGCACCCCTTTCACCATATGTCAGAATGTCATTCCCTCCTCCTTTCCAAGATTGTCTGCCTCAAAAAGTGCATTCCAAATAATATGCATATAATACTGAAAATCCTTTATTTTTTCCATATTAGTATCAGTTTCCCCCCCCCCTTGAAAACCTGAGGGGGGAAATTCCCCCCTGGTTGAGAACCCCTGATCTAAAGTGTCGATCTCTTTCCGTATTTATGTAATAATAATAATAATAATAATAATAATAATAATAATAATAATAATAATAATAAAAGAGAGAGGGAGGACAGAATAGTATCCACACACACACACACACACACACACACACACAGTAGGAGTTCCTCGCACAACCACAGCTTCGAAACTCTGACCAGCGAGGGAGTGAAAGTCGACGTTTGTTTTACCTTCATACGACCACTGGGCTGAGGTGACCTTTGCTACCTCCTACAACTCCTAGACCTCCCTCCCCCACTGTTGTATGTATATGTGTGTGTGTGTGTGTTTACATATATGTATATGTACTGTCAATGAATATGATGCAACTCTTTGTGTACGAACCTCTGTCCTGCATGGCAGTGAACAGTGACATTATCCATATGAATCTGACCTCTATACATTTATAGTTGTTAATGAATATGATGTATTTCTTTGTGTGTGAACCTCTGTCCTGCGTGACAGTGAGAAGTGATACCACCCTCAGTGTCAAGACCTGACTGAATTACTCGGAATAGGCAAACTGTACTACAAGCTCTGCCAATAAATTTGTTAAACTAAAAAAAAAAATCCCCCACTGGCAGAGAGAATTGGGGAAGAGGAGGTGGGGTGGCAGGGAGGGAATGGAGAGGGGGAGAAGAGAAGGAAGATAGGTCAAGATGGAACAGGGAGAAGCAGGAAAGATGGGTGGTGTTGGTGGAGGGGATCGAGGACTATTAGATGGGATGGGGAGGCTGAGGGGAGGTAGGAATGGAGAGAACTGACACATACATACATACATACATACATACATACATACATACATACATACATACATACATACATACATACTGTACATACATACATATATATGTGTGTTCAAAACCACACACACACACATAGCTGGCATATGTACACCTCCCCCCCCCCACTCACACGCATAAACAAACACGAGTACCATGAACCACAGTTTATATATACCGTTAAACCTAACCACAACTATGCTCTTACTAGCCAAATTTCACGAAAAAACTCTTTACTCTCAAATATGAGACGAAAGTTAATATCCCATTGTTTTAAATATTAAAAAAACAAAAAGAAGATATTCTTAACATGATTAAATATATATACTGTATATATATATACATATATATATATATATATATATATATATATATATATATATATATATATATATATATATATATATATATATATATAATAAATAGTAAAAGAAACAAGATGTGTGATTTAGTTACCGATCAATTACAGTTTGTCCTGACAAGAGTTGTATACCCAAAGAGGGGCGATGGCAGTCGTACCTTACAGGGGTAAAGTTTCATTCTTGGATGAGTTAATATGGACGAGAGACGCGTCAAATTCTCACAAAGTGAAGTGTCGGCAGGGGCTGAAGTAAGTGTAGGGGCTGAGTCTACGGTTTCTGTCCACTGCAGGAAAGTATATCAGAAGTACAGTACTTGCTAATGGATTATCTTTCTTAGTATTCTTCCTGTCGCTTTCATGATTTATTTTGCGGCATGATTCTTTTGTTATTATTTATTAATTTTCTTAAGGTTTCTGTCGTCTTGATTTACCCACACCTAACCTAACCAACTCATCCCCACAGACAAAAATAGACAAATAGTTGCCAGATAAACAAACCTGTCCACCAACACCACCACTCACCGAACACAACCACTCCTCCCTCTACCTTTCCTCACGTACTTTCTTTCCTTGTTTCCTAGAGTACAGGAAAAATATATCATTGGGATAAAATGCTATTCTCACTAAGAATATGAACACAGAACTGAGGGATAAAACAAGAAATTATTGAAGTAAATAACAGAGGTTACAGGAAGAGGAAGAAATGAAGTCTTACAGATAATTATCACATAGAGTGTGTGTGTGTGTGTGTGTGTGTGTGTGTGTGTGTGTGTGTGATTTATTCTCACCCCCCTTCCTCCCCCCCTCCCCTCCCTCCATCTTTCCTTCCCTTTCTTCCTTTCCTCCTTCCCTCACTCCCTTCCTTCCCCCCATCCCCCCTTCGTTCCTTCCCTTCCTTTCTTCCTTTCCTCCCTCCCTACCATCATTCTCACCCCTGTCTCCCCCTCTCTCTCCCTTCCCTCTACTCCCCTATCCTCCTCCATCTCAGAGAAGGTGTTATGCATCACTAATCAATGAAAGAGGTAGACAGATATACAACTAAACAGAAAGACAGAGAGACAGACAGACAAAAGACAGAAAGAGATATTGTACACTCAGTAATAAAACTATCTTTACAATTCTTGTCCGAAACAAAATAACACCACGAACGTAGGTTGTGTGACAATATTCAAGAACAGTCATGGGGGTGTACGACGCCATTTACGATGACCTTCTTGCCCTGATCTTGTTTCAGGAATACCACCTTTTCGAAGCTCTGGAGAGATCTCAAAGTTGCAATATTTTGAGTACAGTACTAGCTAATAATTCTCACAAGGAAACTTGCTTCGAGACTCCTCCAAAGCTCCGAAAAGTGTAGAGTTCCATGTGTTAAAAGTGATATTGCTGAAAAAAGATCAGGGCAAGGTCATCGTAAATGGCGTCGTACACCCCATAACTGTACATGCGACATACTGTTATTCACCAACCATATTGCAACGAACTAATTTTATATTTCGAATGAAGTAACTAAATAAGGCTTGCCATAATAGGTGGGAAATGTCTCACAATCACGCCTCCCAACCCTAGCGAGACAACACTATTGTTCTGTTACAAATCTGACTCCTCCTTGAAGATACTTTCT